GAGAGAGAGTGAGTGAGAGAGAGAGAGACAGAGAGAGATGGAAAGTGATACGTTTAAAAAGCACTCCCATCAGTCATCATTACTTCAAGTGGCAATATCATTCTTTGAAATAAACGTGTATCTTTTAAAACGCCATCTTTCAATACTTACACGTCGGGGTAATGGGTTTCACTCCCTCACAGTAGGGGTTTCCAGAGTTATGCACACACTGCTTCACCTCGGGGTGGAAAGTGTACCCGTCATAAAAACACTCTTTGATGGTGGCAAACCCGCTGGCGCATTCCCAGAACTTCCTGCAGTCTTCGCCGTTTCTAAACAGGCCATTAGATGGACAGGTGAATTTCCCTGTGCTGTCAGTGACCAATTGGCCGACGGGTGTTGGTTTGGGTGTGGTAGTTGCTAAAGAATAAAGTACAATTAATGTTATGTCCTTCAAGCGATCAGCAGTAATGTGTTTTAGAAGTGTCACATTCGTTTCTTATATCCGCATTGTGATTGGATCCAGGTTCTCTAGAGCCAAAAAGGGAAAAAAATGTGACCGTTTTCGATGTGCACTCCAATAAAAGCCATTACAAAAAATGGCTGATTTTTATACATACAGACATATTCCATCGAGTCTCGTCATGTGCAAACAGAATAAGTGCCTTATGACTAATTGCCTAACAGAACCATCACCTTCCTCCCACACTTTTTCATACTTCGTTCCCACAAGTTGAGAACTATGGGCCTATGAATGACAAAGCTGAACCCCCATCTCTTCCCTCAGAAAACATCTCAAACAAACTCTAGTATCTTACTTGGAATTGGTGAGGCATATCTATTTCCCTCGGCGTCACAGTCGGTGACCTGGGCCGCCGGTCGACACCCACCCTCCGTGGCAAAAGTTTTCGGGGGACATGAGTAAAGCCTCCTTGAAGCCTTCCCCTTTTGACACGAGTACCATCGGGCACACTCAAAGGGGTGAGGCACGAAGAACTTGTCCGGTTCAGGACAGCCAAGTCTCCTGCGTCCGTCGGGAAAACAGTCGTCAATGACATTGCCGGGGGAGTCGCAGAATTGCCCCATAGCGTTGAAGAAGCCCCCGTTGTTACAAATACCGAACGTGTATTTCTTGTTGAGGCACTGGTGGTACACTCTGCAGTCTCTGGGATCTTTGTACCATCCGCTCTTTGCGACGGTGGTGCAGTCGACGGGGGATGGGTATTTGGCAGGGTCAAACTGGGGCCCCGTGGTGGTGGGTGGGGGTGGGCGAGGGGTGGTTGTAGTTGTTGTTGTGGTGGTGGTTGCCCGCGTGGTTGTGGTTGTCGATGATGTGGTTGTGAGGGGCGTAGTGGATGGAGCTGGAAAATGAAAAATAAAATTTTCAATCAACGAGTTGAATGAGTTGACCAAAAACACCGTAAGAAAAATTCGGTCCTCAAAGGTATATTCATATAGCTCTTTCGCATGAGTGCCCCTGAACATCCGGAAAACGTAATAATAACAAAACAAATGGATATTTTTACTTTAAAAGTGATACCATAGATATTGCAACCTTATTTTCTGACATGGGCACAATGAGCTTTTTTAAAAGTTAAAGTATAGGGGAGGTAAAATAGTTATACCAGTAAATCATCAGGCAAAATAGAACATTGAACTTCTTTGTAAAGAAACTAAAGCAGACTCACGTGGTTTTGTTGCCACTTCGCAGGATGCAGTGTTATTTCTCTCGTCACAATGGCCTCCCCATTCGCCGTCGGGGTTGTACACGAGGTTTCCCATGCAGCGTTTTTCCAAAACCTGAAAGATATTTCGTAAATGCATAATCCGTGTTAACTTTTAATAGCGAATATCTTTCATAATTTTCCGAGTTTTTTGTCCTTAAAAATTAGTCGCGCGATTCTTCTTTAACTCATGCAACATTATTTGTCAACAATTTCTAGGTAAAAAATCTTTGGAGTTATCAGCCTTTTACTTTTTTCAGGCTATTTCCCCTGCACCATACCTGCGCGACAAAATAATAGTTCATTATAACACACTGTTTAAAAATCTCGTGGCATAATGGCAAAAATAACTCCTTGTTCCGTTTGTTGGAGGATTTTTTTTCATTGTATGATATGCAAGTGTATTCCCTTTCATATAGATAACTCCATTCTAATCTTTTTTTACCTGAGATCCGGCGTATATACACTGGTAGTAGACAGCACTGCAGCCTGCTGGGTCTGGGAAAATACCTTCTTGGCCCTTGCAATCATAGACAGGTGGCGTTGTGGGTGCAGGCGTGGTAGTGGTGGTGGTGGTAGTTGTCTTAGCTGATGAAAAAATTCAGAAACCTTTTAATTAATGACAATAGTTCACGTAGACATATGTTCACAACCGAACCATCTCAGGTCGGAAATGGACTATGTGACATCATAAAATGTGACGTCAGCAAGTCTTTTTTAGTACTCCCTTTTTAAACAAGCCATTAGAAAAGTGAAGATCGTTTATCGATTAAAAAATCCACTCCCTCATCACCCTTCAAACGGCCCTTCTGATTAAACCCCGTCTAAAAGATTGAAGAATGACATTTTCATTGAAATGTGTGCTCTCACCTTCCCAGCGGATTCCCGTCCTGCTGTCACACTCATCTCGCAGGTTGAACTTATTGACACAGGTGCCTCGAACCTTACTGAACCATTGTTGGCTGTCAGGACAACTGCGCTCAGTGAATTCCCAGTTAGTACAGATGAAAAAGGAGTCGCATCTGAATGGGAAAATAAGCAAATTCTAACTGTTAATGGAAGTTCGTGTGCGCATACTAGTAGTAGTACAAGTAGGAGTAAATGAAGTGATAGTTTAAGTTTAATCTGACGCCCTCGCGCGCGCGCACATACACACACAGAGAGAGAGAGAGAGAGAGAGAGAGAGAGAGAGAGAGAGAGAGAAAGTTTCGATACACCTACCTTATAGGATGATGATGGAATCCAGTCTTGCCGTCTGGACAGAGGAAGAGCGGCGTGGTGGTTGTGGTAGTTGGGATTGGAGTGGTTGTGGTTGTGGTGGTCGTAGTGGTCGTAGTTCTGAACACAAATGTGTAAGGTGCCCTGGTCGTAGTGGTTGTGGTCGTGTAACCGGCTGGGGATAGATAAACGAAGGGAACTTAAGTGAAAATGAATTACATATATCATTTCAGGTTAATAAAACTAATTGCCAAATGCAAATACTATTTGTTATTTTCAAGTGACCATAGAAATGAGCACAAACACATGCGCATTTGTTAAAAAGGAAACCAAAACTGTAGACACAATTTCCTGTCGGAAACAATGTTCTCTCGTGTAAATATACTTACGCCATGTCACTCTCGCTCCCCAAGGCGTGCATTCCTTCGTAGAGTTTCTGTAAGGCGCACAGCGGAGATCCTTTTCGCTGTAATGGAACCCGCTTGGGCAGACTGTCAGTGAGTATTTCCCGCCAAAACAAAGGAACAGACGAGTGCAGTCAGGGTGAGGGTTGGAACTGAACGCTGCATCCGGGCATTTCCAATCTCTCGGTGCTGTAAAGTTTGAATTACACGTGGTTAAGATGGGAATGGGGAAAGTGTTTTTTGTAAAATGTAAACTACAACAGTACGATTCAGAAAATGATCAAGAAAAAACGCGGAAAAAATACATAATATGTATCTGCCTTCTCTTCTCTCTAACCTTATCCAACATCATTCATATTTGAAACGATATTTTTTCATACACTGTCAAAGTATCAAAAATGCGCAAAACTTCATACTGTATGCACTTCCTGCATGACCAACCCCTTTTCCTATCACCCCATTCTAACCAACCCGCCCCCTTCAACATCCAACCTGACCAGCCACCAAACAATACTCACTCCACGTTATTCTCTTCCCCGAGGATTTGCACTGGGACGGCACGTTGGCCCAGATTGTGCATCTCTTCCTAAACCGGTCAAAATACGGCGTCAGTTTGGGGCAGTGGTATGAACGCACGTGACGGTCGTCCTGGCAATGGTGAAATATGCTACAGTTTCTGTTGTCGGCGTAGAGATCTGTGGGCCAGTCATTGCAGTCGTATCTGAACCCGCTGATCGGGAAGGCGGCTGTGTCTTGGGGATCTGGAAAAAAGTCCAATTGAAATGAGTGGATATTGTTAGTCATCCAGTAGAACAAGTATGATAAACATGAATCACCTCGAGCTCTGATACTGGAGCTTACGTTGGTCAGTTGCTAAATGTAAGGTCCAGTATTAGAGTTATTCATATATATCAGTCCAATTAAAATGATATTCGAGCAAATGTTTATTGAAATTCGAATCATAACGTGCTATGTGATAAATGAATGAATATTTAACTAACGTGAATGTCTGAATCAATGAATGAATTACATGCAAAGCAAATTTGTAACGCTTGCCAAATTCATCGCTTATTTAAAACTTTCCTTTATTCAACTGCAGTTGATATACGTAAATCAGACGCAGTATTTGAATAAAAACTAAACAATGAACAAATGGCACAATTTTTACCGTGTCACCATGTCAAAGGGAAATTGGAATGCAATGCCGCGTGAGAGAGCAGGTGTTTAAATTTATTTCAGCTGCGAAAGGTGAATAACCACATTCTTGTTCTTGTTGAACATGGTTTTCTCCACTTTCGTTGAGCAAATACGCGTGTAAAACAGCGTTGCCAACTCATTCAATTTCCGTGCCCTACGCACGTATAGTCTACCCCTTTTGTTTTGTTTTGTTTTTCGTCATCAAGTGTAATAATTTCGCCAATATCATGGTTAATAACAGAATTACACATTAAGTCACCTTTAATAATTTGAAATAATGTTGTCAAACTGTGGAACTAGTGGTCACTGTGTGGCTTTTATCATAAATACAGAGTTTCCAAACGTGCTGGCTGCCCATTGGCCGAGTCATCACTTTTTGCAGGGGGCGTTTAAGTTGGGCTTAACACTTATATATAGCCATTTCGTGCGAGGAGCAATGTCACCGTAGTTTCAATGAGGTGATTACTATCTTAAAACAAGGAGCATTTATATACACGTTTTCGACTGCTTTAATTGTCATTTAGACTGCCAGTGTTGTCTTTGAAGAGTTTGAGTCATATAGATATATAAATTAGACTTGATGACTGAACTGAACTTAAGAGCATTACTGTTTATAAAAAAGGCTGAGTTGTTAAAGTTTCACTTTTACCTTAACTTATTCATTTCAAAGCCGCTTTCAGACAAGAAGATTAACCTGGAGTGCTAAATTGCGTTATCAACAACCAAACTATTTTAGTAAAATAAAATATTAAAATGTTTAAATTTTAGCAGTAAAGAGACTGCCAATAACCAACTCCGTCGACCGCGTGCAGGGCGCGTGCCTCCTGGGCGTAGGCGGCTTAATAACCAATTTTCATGTTTAGCTGTCCTGTGATGTCATTTAGAACTGAGCCAGTCAGCAAAACTTTTCCTCTATGCAACTCCCCTACACACACACACACGCAGGCACACACGTTAATTAAACAAGCAGTATATGGTTCCTGGTTAGAATAATACCATAATTGTGTTCCAACCTTAACAATTAAAATTACTACATAAGAAATGTATATAAGCCACTTACCGCCTCCTTGAGCATAAGCGCATGTTAGTACTCCTATGAGGATAACGACAACTAGTTCCACTATTATCTGTGTCCGGATCGCCATTGTCAGTCTGAAATAAATGGAGAAAATATTATGAATTCATAATGGATTGACTTCCTGTGGTTTCGAAAGCGCAATACGGTGTGGTCAGGTACACAAAATCATTTTGGATACAATGTTGATCTGGTAAAATTTGGAAATATTGGTAATAATATCTGAAACAATATGTTGGTCTGTTTCAATTCATGATAAATGGACAGTAGTCGATATAAATTAGTTGAACATGTGAACTACGTATACTTGTTTTAACAGTCTATGCGTCACGGCAGTAATTCGTTATGTGTCATCTTTATTACGCTGGCTCTAGTGTCAGACTGAACTAAATTACTAAATTATTCTATCTGACACGCCATTTAACCTTTAAAAAGAAAGTAGCATTCAAAATTTACATTTGCTTAAAGGAGAAGGTGCAAGAATACAAGGAGAGGCTATATGTAACAATGATTTGCAAATATCTGGCATCGAACATAAGCAATACTCTGTTCGCAGAGATTCCTAACTCACGTGTTCCAGTTAAAGGTCAGATCATATATCACGAAGACATCAAAGACATAATAATAATAATAATAATAATAATAATAATAATAATAATAATAAATTTATTATTATTATTATTATTATTATTATTATTATTATTATTATAACTGATGTCATCGCAGGAAAGAAACCACCGGTACCCTGCATGACTTTTGATGATATTCCAAACGATTTTTGTCACGTGGTCCGTTTATTATCTCTCCACTATATAACGTACATATATTTTAATGAGACTCTTTTTTATTCTTTATGTCACTTTATTCGCTAGCACAAACGTTTCATGACTTTCGTTAATAAATCCAAAGGCAGAGGTTAGGTTTACGTGCATTGAATGCACTTTGAAAAAGAAAAACAGGTAGATATGAATCTAATTTACCAACTCCCGCTCTTACGACTTAATCTGTGCACCAAATCATTTCTACCAACGCTAAATATAGAAGGGAGAAACAATTGCGGTGAATGCATTCTTACCCACGTAGCTTTTGAGGAATCAGTTCGACTGCAGTTGTGTTGTAATGTTTTCTTTCAAGGACCACAAAATACAATCTAACTCGTAGCGTCTCATTCGACATTCACAACACGGACATGCTCATACCAAAGGACTGTTTGGAGTCAAATGCATCATTTACGTATCTAAAAACATAAGTCCGTAAAAGGATGTACTTAAATGTTTTGAATGTGAAATTTGATGGAATATCAGAGCAGTATCTTGTATTAGTCATACATAGCTCTTTAACTAATGTCTCATTACGAAACTACATAGAACAAAGAAACATATTCATACATAGAGCACTTGGGGCAAAACTATTGTAACTACATTGCTCACGTACTTTGAAACATGAATAATGTTTTACCACGATAAAAACGTCAAGTATAATTTTTAGTTAGTCGTGCCTAGTTCCAAGCAAACCAACTATCTGTGAACCTTTGAATGGGGTCCTTGTTTTTCTTTGTGAATTTCAAATAGAACATCATCAATAGCCTAATCTTCTACAACATGGAGTAACTTATTCTCAAAGGATGACATCTGTAATTATATGCCCTGTGAAAAGTATTCCACGTTAAACCATGCGCTCAGGCGATATAATTTAGAGGTAAAGGGAGTGATTCATGACCCACTCTTCACTTCAGCTGTCACTTTCGTTATCAAAGTCATGCATCTGAGACCTAAACGTATAATTCTCGCCCGTCAGAATGCGTGATCTTTGGCAGCGGCGGAAGCCATCTTTGATATGCAAGATAGGCCACATGTGCCTGCAGATTTGCTTCTCATGTATAATACGTCATGGAATGTAACATTCTGGCTCTGTCTGTCATCTAACTTGAAAAGTGGATGTCTTTTAATAAACTCACAGCAAATGTCAGGATATTATCGCGAAAACAACAAACGAAAAAAGGCCGCCATTGTTTGCATTTGACCATACTATTAATATTTTCAGATGGGGTGTGCATGGGCCAAACGAATGGTTGATAACATTTCATACTTGTTGACTTTTTGATTTGACATATGAATATGTATTGAATACCAGCATTAGATGGTCTGAAATTCTGTCTTTGCCAAACAAGGAAATACCTCGAAGCATGTACAGACATCGCTATAATCACTGGGGGCGTCTCGATAGTCCGAAGGTTCATTGGTCCGAAGGTTCATTGGTCCGAAAAGTGGTTACATTTTCATCGATTTTTTAATCAAGGGTTCATTGGTCCGAAGGTTCTATAGTGAACATTCGGACCAATGAACCTTCGGACTATCGCTACGGCCCCTAATCACTACGGTACCATCAATCACTGGAGGCACTTCACTTACGAAACGCTTACAGTCAGTAAACCCTCCATGTTGTATTTGCATACCAAAACCCCAGTGTCAACCTAAAAGTCTTATATAGGATTTCCGTTAAAAAATTCACGTAGAACACCCATATAGGCCTAAAACAAAACCTATTAAAACTGTGCAAAGACGCTGCGACCCTAGTTCAAATTGACTTCGATGACAATGCACGATAGTCACTTAAAAGGGGTCAGTCCGTGCCGGGCACATCTTCAAAATAAACGCTTTGTCATCGAAAGCCATTGTTGGTACGACGGCAAACGGAGCCCATTCCACACGTGTAGCTGCCTGCAATGATTTCTGACCCCACTGGCGTTAAATAATATTTATCACTATGGTCTTAAACGTGACTTCCCTTACAACTACATTGTATAAATCTGGAGTGCCGGCTTGTATAGTGATGTGACTTCCACGCACCTCCAAAATGAATGTACCATTGTCAATGCCCGCCATTATGTGCACTTCGGAACACTGCAAAACGGCGCCAAGGACTAATATGGAACGTCTACCCCATCATGAATGTAAAATAAGTTAATTTACAGCACACAGCCCATTGTTCTTTTCGGGTAGGCCTATGTCCTTAAAATGACATATTCAATTTCTGAACCACTACCTTAAACCCTAAACAACATTAAATATCTATTGTTTGTAGACATACAAGTATATCATAACGTCTGCCGGTTTATGTAGCAGGTCCTAGTTATCCAATTACCCAACAGCATTCTTAGCATCCTCGATCCGCCTAACGCGACCAGAAAAAAACATTTTTTAAGTCATCATCGCTTTATTTTTCAATGAGTATCTGTATCGATCAAATGAAGCAGACAAACGATTATATTTTGTTAACGATTGTATAAAAACATGATGTGAATGTCATACTATTCTAACATCTACCTCTCTCAGTTTGCCAAACTTACACATCACAGGTTTTTGACAATTAAAACGCATCTATCGTCTTAATCAAATTTACATTTCTGATGAAAGATATCAGAAAAGCATTACCTATGGTATGATATATTGGTAAGCAACAATTAGAAGAGGAAGAGAAGAAAAAGAAGAAGAATTAATCATCAATGGGAATTTGAAGAATCATCGCACACCCTCGTCATAGTCACGTACTAGCATTTAACATGTTTCCTTCTTGTGAGCTACCATTGTGCCTTATTAAATGACTCAAAACGTCGACGCCCCGAAAAATCATATATCATGTCTCGTCTGTATGATTCTTCCTTTATAACTGTGGAACCCCTCGGCTCATGCAAACTATTTCGTGGCAGTTACTTCAACAAGTACTTGCTTATTCATTGCATCCCAAATCGAAATCTGTTTTGCAATATGAACAGCCATTGTGCAACCTGAAACTACCATTGCTCATGTAGATACGGTGCCTTTTGAAAATTTTTAGTTTAATGACGTTGATCGTAACGAGCTTTGTCAAATGCATGCAAAACATAAAAAACATTGTTAAACTGTATTGTTCTCCTCACACAAGGAAGTACAAAAAATCCCAGGATATTTATGTTTAACCCAGAACCTGAGGTTCACGTGACATACTCCCGAAATTGACAAACCACAATCAATTTTAAAATGTCAATTCCTTACAGGTATAAGACTGTTATATGAAGTGACCGTTTCTGGGACGGTTAATATCAGAAAAACTTCCATTATCGGTCGATCACAGGGTCATATCTGTACCAAGTAATAAAGATTAAAATCCAAGATAGCAAGACACATCAATCAGAAGTAGTTTAATACAGTGCGCCATTGTTTTCGTTTGAATGAGGCCTTTTTGTGTATGTATATATAAACTTTGCTGACCTAAAAGGTTTGGAATGCTACTGCCAGGAAGCAGAATCAACAATGGCGCAATGTCCCTTTTTGTGGCGAAAATAAACTACAGGTCTTGAGTATTCTTTGGGTTTCTGACTCAGATATCTTTATTTGACGTGTTGTTATTGACTTGGTTTCTAGCTTTTGAAAAGAAGCGATAAGTTTTGTTGACGTTATCTAAGGCATATGTAAATTTTTTGGAAACATATTTTATGACAATTTCCGCAATGGTATTATTTTAAGAACTGTTTGTTGTTGAATTTTAAAAAGAAAAGAACATTGTGAAATTAATCAATAAATTGTAAAACAGCTTTCGTGTATTATCGAAATATGAAAACATTGCACATGTACATATACATGTAGCTTTTCTCCATATCCACACAAAACTATATATCACCACATCTTTTTTGTTTCAATGAGAAATGGGTAAACAACCGAAGACAGCGATAATCCCAACACAGTTTTCTATAATTCCGTGACGTGTGTATCAGTACAATATGTAAAACTACCGCTGGCGAGGACAAAAGACACAGTATAGAGATAAACAATTCTGGAAATTCTCACTGAATGACTGTATTATACTCAACAGAAGCTATCCTTCACACTGTTCCCTGTATTTCGACGTGATAGATACATAGTATGCAAATGATTATCAAACAAAACAGCCAATCATGAGCAATTAGGAGATTATAATTAAATGGCCGAGTCTAACATGTACCTAAGAGACAGAGAAACTCAGAGAGCGAAATACTGTCACCTTCTGTCTGTGCTATTGTCATTACAGAGTGGCGTACAATCATGACTTGTTTGACCCACCACTGTGTACTTATTATCTGATTTTATCATCGGACCAGACCGCCCTCCAATCTTTTCGTGTATATACCACCCAAAGTAGACGAGATACAAGGATGCGTAATTCAGGGGAGGAAAAAGACTTTTTTGTTTTGGACCGTTGAAAATCCTCTTGAAATTAAAAGCGGGTGATTTGATATTTAAGATAACTGTGTAAGAGAGTCAGTCTGGATGGAAGACTTAAAGCTAAATATTTGAACCAATTCCTTAATTCATTTACAATTTCATCTAAAGGGAACTTTACTCACTAAACGTAAAACGGAAAAGGTGCATGTGCAACAGCCAACAAACTCTTGTTTAAGTCCGCGAGAAGGGGTAGCGCTTCATGAATAGAAAAGTTATGTACATTTTTACTAATGCACATTGAACTTACATATATGGCGGTCTTGGAAACTCGCGAATTACATTTTCTTCCAAAGACGCAAGCCATATATCTCAACATTAGAATATTCACCATCTGAATATCAAAGTTAAGGTACCATCACGGTTACAATGAGAACAAAACTCTTTCTATGTACATGTCTGACAGCATTGACTCACTTTTGGCACCGTATAAAAGTTCCAATCCATGAGCATTTGATGTAAATTACAATCTTATCAACAGGTTGGAAAAGACTGACGATTGATTGCATAAGCCGTATAAGTGAACATGGAAGTCAAACATTATATGATACAGTTGCTGTTGGTATCGCTGTTTGTTATCCGAAAAACTGCATTGCTGGGCGATAACAATTATTATATCATAAAAGAATGTGAAAAGTCACCTGTTGTGTACCAGACTTGGAGTCACTAGACCAATTTTTCAGTACGTTTTCATGACACCCATACATCAACCGCGAAGTTGACAGTAAAAGAAGTCTGCCTTCATATATACTGTTTTAAAAAACACAAAAAAGGACAAACCTGCTAAAAAGAATCAGTCAATCTCACCTCTTATTCAACTGTGGCTGCTTGCCGGTCCTGTCCGCCTCGCCTCGTCGACAGCACACCTCTGACGACGAAAAGAAAGGGACACATTAAAGTCGTGTGACGAACTAATATCAGTCTCGCGTCTCTGTCGTGAGTTGACTACATTATAACTTAAGTAACAATAAAAACACTCATCGGTCGTCCCATCGCGGTGTGCGGGACGTCACCCATGTGTGAGTGCATTGTTTTAGGGAACGGGCCATGAATATGAATTATATATCTATAGGAGAGGAACGGGAAGACGAAAAGATTTGGACACTAAGTTTCTATACCGGTCTGCATTGTTCATGTATTGCCACAAAAATTCTTCCACCCATGTCTGTAGGACCTGTGTTTTGCCATTAATGCCAGGAATGTGTTTTGTGTATAAAATGAAGAGATTTATAGGAAAGGGGAACTGGACAGATGGCGTCGTGGCCATACATGTATCATTTCTTCTTTTTTTCACGATGGATTTTATATATATGAACAAAAGCTTCTTGAAGATAATATAGGGCGATACGCGCTTGTTGGTACCATCGACTAGCAGAAACTCATGTTTAGTTTCTTATGTTTACTGTTGCCTTACTTTATAAATTGCCCCCAATTATATCTTTATCCTTACTTCACTGATTAGTTTTATTGCAATAGTATATAAACATATATAAGGGCGTTCAGTCTAAGTCTTTTAGTGATTGGTTAGTTTTAACAATTATCAAGTATAATTGTAATACAAGAACGACATCGATTTTTAGTATGTGCGTATTGCAGTTGTTTTAATGTTATTTATTTCAACAATAAAGCGTCTTTCCAAACTCAATACACGACTTATATCAGTGTGATTAAACAGTTCCTCAAAAAGACTCATAAGAACACAAAAAAAAAAAATAAAAATAAAAATAAAAAAAATAACACTATTTTCATTGTCCGCAATTTCCTCGACCAATTACTGGTAATGGTATAAAGTTCCTAAATTGTCCGTCAACGTCTATATAGCTGATTTTGGAGTTTATATCACAAGCGACATNAAAAAAAAAAACAGGGACTCCTGAATGTAAAAATGGATTCATTAACCATTGGTAAGTATGGAAAAATTGTTGTTTACTCCGGGAAAATTCATTTTTTGTCCGAAACGAAAAGTTATTATCCCTTTAAGAGATTTGTGATTAATTTTTTAATATTTGAACAAATCATTTGATTTGCAATGGTAGGATAGATACAAAGAAAACAAAAAAAAGAAGAAATTGAAGCATATTTTTCCTGGTTGATAATTGCTCATGTGAATATTTTATATTTACCGGTAGCTTACCATTGCGTTTAGTGGTGCATTGTATGGGCCTTTCTTGGGAATGTTTTTGCTGGGTTGTTGTATTCCATGGAGTAATTGGAAAGTAAATATCTCTCTCTCTCTCTCTCTCTCTCTCTCTCTCTCTCTCTCTCTCTCTGTGTGTGTGTGTGTGTGTGTGTGTGTGTGTGTGTGTATAGATATCTACTTAACTGCAAATTGAGTATCATAGTAAGCGCAATTTCTTGTTTCACAAATAATGAATTTTACAGAAGAACATTTGAAAGTTGAAACGATGTGGTATCCTATTCTATTTTAGGGAGTTGTTGGTGGCGCGATAGCTGGTGTTATCATCGCTCTGTGGGTGGCCTTTGGGTCATTCACAGTGACAAGACACAATCACTTCCTCCCAACTAACACATCTGGGTGTGACGCCGAGAATGCAACCACAGCCACTAACTTCACAACACCTGTCATTTCTGGCGTACAGCTTTCCCTCCTTAATGCGTCCATGTTTAATGAATCCTTATATGAGACAATCTCTACAGTGGCGTATCGAGAAGATATTGATCCCAATATTGCAATGCATGCCAATCACCAAGGGTATTTTGATTATTTTGATATTATTTCGCTAATAACATGTTTTTTAGGTGTTTACATCACCACATTTTTCCTTGAATTTTTAAAATCCAAACAACTGAGTTTACCGATCTTATCAAGTCAGCCAGCAAGCACTAAGGTTTATGTTACCCTTTCGTTCTGTTGCAGGTCCGCGTTGGAGAAGATTTACAGCATATCATACTGGTGGTACACATGGCTAGGGCTGATAATTACGGTCTTTGTCGGAGTCATCGTCAGTTTTGCGACAGGTGAGACGCTACAAGCGTTTATTTTCTCTCTCTCATGCACATGCATAGCAAAATTCTTATGGCTAATATGGAAATATGTTCATTACAAAAGACAGTTGTCTGGAGGTACAGATGGTTCCTCGCCTATTGCAGAAGTAGACGATGTTGACCTCTCCAGAGATTCTACCGCAGTGGTCACTTGGCCTTGTGACCTGCAAAATTCCTCGCAAGGAACCTTTTATGTTGACAGTGCAGTTTTTTTTTTTACCTAGACATACACTTTTTACTGAAGAACTCTGAAAAACGAATATTAAAACGGATGTTACTTACTTGCATGTTCATTGACCGCGTGTGATAATCTTGTTCTTTTTTTTTTTTTCATTTTCTGCATTTCCAGGATATACGCCACCTAAAGAGATAGATAGAAAATATATCCTCCCGGCAATTGCCCAGATACCTTGTTTTGGAGAGGACGAAAAAGATTTTGCTGTAGAAAATGCCCCACTAAGGGTAAGTACGAGGTTAACCATTCAGCAAATTATTGGACAGTTTCCATAAAAGAATCTCGCGGCCATTTTGAAAATCCTTAAAAGCAGTCTCTGTGGCAAATTTACTCTTGAGTGCAGTGTTTGAAAATGAATGAATAACTTCTTCAATTTTTGATTCGTCCAAATGAAATATAGTCTGCAATTTAGGAGAATTTATCTCCGTTGCTTTATGTTTTTTCTTTTCTTCCCTAGGCTTTAAACCACAATGATGACGACAGCGATAAGGAGAAAGAGGAAACAATTGAAAATCTCCGAGATGACTATAGCAAATAAAGATTTTTTAAAGTATATTTGTTCTCCATGTGGAATAAAGGTGTCGTAAAGTACATATCAGCTATTTATCAGGCAATACAGCCTAAAATAGACGTGCGTTATCATGACTTTGGGTTATCAAGTATGTACACAGAGCCGTTCAAACTTGTTGTATTTTAATTAACAGCTCCGTAAATTACATGTCGGATAATACATGATAGGGGTATACGGAATAAGGTAAAACAATGGGGCCGTCTAACCCGCAGCTTTGGGGTTATATCGGATCTAAAATCGTAATGTGATTTTCTATTTCTGCAGCACGGAGCTGTTCAATATGGTAATGGAAATTGTAACTTAGCCAGTCTAATCTATAGGCCTGCGCACACTCTAAGCTTTGAACTTAGCTACTGACGAAGCCATTGTTTCAGACAATGCGCTTGCCTAAAACATCAGACACATTTGATTTGTCTTGAGTTCGCTCAGGCGAAAAACTAAACTGAACGAAAAAAAATCCCACTGTCAGTCTAATATTTGAATAGGTATTAGGTATAATTAATAACAGAATATTCTTCTGACAACATTTCTAACATGTTAGTGTATGTTCTTGCATTGTAATGTATATCATCATATCATTGAGGAGAAAATTCCTTAAAACTGATTAGTTCCGTATCAATTCTGCTTAAGTTAAAATCTTATATTATTTAAAAGAAAAGCTGTTTACTGAATGCTTAGATAATTTGAAACAAGTTCCCCCCATCCCGGGATGCCAGGAGTGGTCCGGACATACAATCTAGAGAGTTATCCTTTTATAAATTTAATGCAAATTCCGGATGGGCTATGTCAACCGTCTGCCTCAAGCTAGCAACGGACTAACGGCGATAAGAAATTAAAATATATATTAACAAAAATTTATAAGGTGGGGTTGCGACCTCTACAAGGTTTCAATAGAGGTCCTTCGAACGCTTTATATTCTCAATTAAATTATCACTGGGAGGTGCAATGTATCTCCTTTAGTTCACGCGCTACCATGACAACGGTGGGAAAACACGTGCCTCTTCTTCCTGGCAGACAACCCTGCTCGACATTACAAACTGAGAGCGATCGGTTGGTAGCCGGCTGGTCGCTAAGCTGATAAGGTTGTTTTGTCGAGATGTTGTGGTGTTGTCATTGAAACAATGATAAAAAGGAACGTGATGCCAGAGTTGACTGATACACATACTATTCAGTTCAATCTAGCAGTGAGTGGGGAGAAGAACGCAGTTGGTGAGTGTCTTTTTGTTTTACTAGTTACTAAATGGATTTTAAGTGTCCATTTTAATTTTTTTTCTTTAAAAAATGGAACAGGTTACAGGGATTGTTTTATCGTATTTACGCTGAAAAAATTCAACGCGCAATAATTCTTGTCAAAATTTTAATCTTGTACCCGACGTAAGTAAAATAACATAGAATAGGATGAAGACAAATGCACCATTGGAGCTTTTTATTTAGTAGATCTGTTACTATCTTCAAAATATCTACACTTGTAGTGCATCCAAGGCTTCATTTCTGATTTCCAAAAATACACAAACATATGTTTGCTAATTCTGAAGATAATTAGTGCCCCTTTTTAGCTTTAAATATCGAGATAAATTTATATACCGATTGATACAATAACAAATTACCTTCTTATATTTTTGGCAATGGCAAATGTTAGCTGAAGGAAAGGTCTTTTTATGGGGGTATTTTTTACCCAATCTTTGTCTTATCTATCAATGTTTAAAGAGAAACTTCTACACAGTCTTGGCAGTGTTGTTAATAAAAAAAACTGTGTCAGACCTTTAAGCTGTATACTTCTTCTAGTACAACCTTTAATTATACCTTGTATGTGTGTGGGCACTATACCACGAGACTTCAGTCTGATTAAAATATTTTTTTCAAACCATAGTCACTTGATATCTAACACCTTGTTTCGTATACCTTCTCTAGCTTGGTAAGAAAAAATAAGGGATAGGCCCGTACAGGAAACGCCATTCAGATTTAACAGATCAGTGACTGGAATTCTCCGTAATCGACCTTTCAATTTCACCGTTTGGCAATAAGGCGGTATTCCAGGACGCTCGGTTTCGGAGAAATCTATCATAAAGGAACTCCTTGTTTTGTTACAATTGTGTAGACACACTTTGTTTCTACCACGGATTTGATTAAATTTCTTGTGATAGATTTGGTGTCATTGCATATAGATTAATGTTATGACGCACTTGACTCACCAGATAAGATCCTTCAAATCCTGATTTAAAGCACAAGATTGGGACGGGTTTGAGTACAGATGGATAACGCATCTCACACCAATATTTTCGTATCCAAAATTTCGTTCACAGTTTGCATTAATTTATATGCTCAAATTGCAAATGTTTGTAAACAATTGAATGTCACTTAGTTACAGCAATGAATATTACATGAGGGCGAATCAGAAGCCTACATGCTTAATCTACATGACACATAAACCAATTGTAATGAATATCTTTTCTGTGGTTGTCATGATGCTCTTTAAAAATTATTTTCATACTCTGACTTATTATTTTCATTAGTCTGTAGTTTATTCGGATTAATGTTGTGATTCAGGTATAGAAATATAAAGACGAAAACCCTGACAAGTGACACCCTGACAAGTGAAACCAAGGCAACCCAGCTTTACCATGACACAACAATATTCCAGCATGTTATTTTGGATTTGTTTATGTATGTTCATGATATCGTCTTATGATCTTGTTGCTTTAATAACATATATAAAATGACTATCATATATTGTAATTGCCTAATTAAATATTTGAATATTCAGCGGTTATGAAAAGGGATATTTTTATACAGTTGTACATGCGTATATTAAGAGAATATTTGGACATCCCTAAAACTTGTGAAAATTATATTTTTGTTCAGTGTGTGTGTTCAAGAAATATTAAGACATCGTTTAAACTTCCTATGATAAGTTTGTCTTTCATATTTTCAGTTGTAGCCTGTTGCAACGTGCTCGGAAATAGTACCACAATAGATACATCTGCAACGACAGGTAGAATAAAAGTGTTATTAACATGAACTTTTGTGTTGCAAAGGAGATTTGGTTCTTTCAACCTTTGGCTTATTTATTTATTTATTTATTTATTTATTTATTTATTTATTTATTTTTCGTTCCTTAGAAATACAATGATTTATTTTCGCAACAAACATTTTTATATCAAAGATCACTTTACCCATTCTGGCCGTATTTTAAAATAGTCATTTAGGCCAAGTCATCACTGTCTTAAAACGCACCATGTTGCCCTAGACGTAAGAAAAATAAGTGATATATTTATGTCAGATTTTTACATCGGGACGCATATGTTGACTGTCCATATTTTTTACATAGTTTGGGAAAAGGGCTTAATTTTCATAAAGAATTGTCTTTATATTGCAAGAAAGATTTAAATACACAGCTTGACTCTTGACGCTTTGACTCTGCTATACCTCACTATCTCGTGTTGTTTACAGCATCGTCTGCACCATCAACTACTCCTCCTCTGGGTACTGTTACAACGAACTCTGGTGGCGGCGGCGGCAGCAGCAGCGTTTCCTCTGGCGGAGCCACGTCAGTTGTCTCAAACACTGCTTCCGGTACAGCGGCGAGTGCTAGCGCTTCCAGTACCACATCAAGCTCAGGCGCCACAACTCCGGCAGCAAAGGTAAGCAGTTAATTATGTAAGGGCTGTGAACATCTAGCAGTCATCCACATATGTAGGTGCCTTTTTGCCGATGTTCGTTCAATAACTTTAGCATGTTGCCCTAAGTACATAAATGATGTGCAAAAATGCCATGTCCGAATTCGGCCATTTACTAGTGTTCTTTGAGATAATTTCAAAATCAATTTACCAAATATATATTTATTTCTATCTACGATCAATCATGTCGTGAGATATTTCAGGAATATTTCTTCTTAGGCTTCCGAAATATAGTTATTTTTTCTCTTCTGTTGGTGACCAACATACGCTTCCTCGGCTAGATGGCCAACAATATGTTGATTAACTGATAAAATTTTACTATTTTATTTATTTATTTATTATCGGTGTGTATTGGAAGTTAAATTTTCTATATTGTTCTTCCTTACAGGTAGTCAATTGTATAAACGGAACCAAAACTGGTTGGAGTAAGACACAGAATGCCTCTAGCTCTTGTCAGTCCTCCACTTGTTGGGTGAGTATAATGGATCAGCTGTATTTAACACGGGAAAAATGAGCCATTTGCTTTATGCATATTAATTTTACTGAGTGTGTCTTGTGAAGTCGAAAATGGCAAGAGATGATCGACCAAAATTAAAAACATCTTATCAATAAAGATAGGTCTACACTTTATTTTAAAGATGCGGATAAAGATATGTTTTTTTTTTAGGATTGACATGTGTTTCCATTTTTTAGGTATGTCAACAGTGGATGATTTAAGAAGTGAATTCTTTGGAAAGTACTTTAAGGCTGAATGGTGCTATCCACATTGGCATCATTCAGTTACTACATTTAAGCTAGAATTAATGCCGCGTGTGTCTTTTTTTATAGGTGTTGGCAACCTATGCAGACAAAGAAGTCACCCAAATCAAGTTGAGTTGCGCCCCGAAAGAACAAGGCACGAAGTGTGACAAGGATGAATGTAAATATGCAAATGATTCTTGTGAATGTTGCTGCAGCACTGATAGCTGTAATAATGAAAACTTCGACGAGAAGTGCGAGGGAGCTCGTGCCAGCAGTAGAGGGGTGCGCCTGTCACCACCATGGCTGGGCTTGGTGACACTTGTACTCGTGATGATGAAGACATTGTAGGGTTGCACTGATTAGTAGATATTTACAATTTGTAAGAACTATACGAGTGATAATTGTAAAATGGAACTCAGAAACTGTATTTTATCGTCTTGTTTATAAAGTATCACTGTGATTATGGATTTGACGCCAAAAGAGAAAGCGAGGTGACCACAACTGATCATTTTTATATATCAGCGTAACACTAAAAAGTACATAATCGAAGTTTTTTCAAAGCGTTGCAGGCGGATTCAGTGAACTTGAGCTGTCAACACGAGTAGGTGTATTTTTGCGTGTGGATCTTTCCAACATGGACGTCACTGTGCCTGATGTGCCTAAATGAAAGTCACCTGTTCAGGAAGAAAACGTTTTGATATATATCCATTAATCATATCACCGGAAGCATTTCGTTTTTCTGACCAAACTTTACAATGCAGGAATTTGAAATCGTGTAAGTGGCGCGTTGTGTCACTGTTTTTTCTTTGGTGATTGTTTAAAGATGTTTTTGTCATGTTTTCTATGATTGAACTAGGTCACTGGATCAAGGTCACGAATGAAGGTCACTACATTTACGTTCATTATTGTTGTAAATATAGCTATTGTAAAAAATTTTAACGATCTGTTCAACAGAAAAATATAATTTTGATACTTTTGCTATTTAAATGTTTATGATGTTTTTGTATTTCATATGTGAAACATGTCATTTAAAATCTTTATTAAATGTAATATTTAGCTCTTAAATCGTAAGGCGCAGTAAGGCCTTTAATGGAATGCGCCAAATACAAATAAATTATTATTATAATAATTATTGTTAATGTTGAAAATGAATAAAAATCAATAGAATAAAATATCTTAAAGTCAGTTCCTGTTTTGTGATTACAATTTAATAAAAAAAATAATAAAACTAAATTAAAATGAAATAATTCCTGAAAATCTATTTTTGCTGTTAAGCAAAAGAATGAAGCAAGTATATAATAGTTTGAAAGAAAGGATGTTACGACCAATGTGTATTGATATACTTTTAGCAACCCCACTAAAAGAAGTACCGAGTACGTGCATAAGAGAGTGAATCAAGTGGAAAGTGGAAAGCTAAATAAAATGGTCATTTAAGATGCATGGACGCGTTTTTAATACGAAGTTTTATATGAAACATAAAAATATATCAACAATAACCCTACTACAAAAAAGATTAAACATGTTAACATTGAACCCTTGGCTTTTGCAAAACTAGATATCTCTTCAGGGTCCAAAACAAAGCAGAGAAGAATCACGAAGCAACCGCGGCCATATCAGTCGCAACGGCGTCGGTAGCGAAAGTGTTTTCTATACACATTTCTATGTTTCTTGGTAGACAATTTCAGCTGTTCTCGTAGTCTATACGTGATTGGTGCACACCGCGTTCGTCTTTACGCTGATAAGCTTGTTTTATCAGGAAGTCTGGGTATTGCCTATAAACGAATGATTACTAAATGTATTTTTGTCACATAAATTTAGAAACTTTATTTTCCACGCCATTTGGTGATCAAAACCGAAATCTTAGACATTAGGTGAGAGACTCTTTCTTGTTCGATTTGAGTTAACTTCCTACGTTTATTAATCAATTAAACTGATGTAATTATGTCTCATTGACCATGAAAGGTACAATTATTTTGAAATATTTTGATGAAAAAAAAATTAATTTTGTGGAAAAAAAAATAGAAAAAGTACTTGTGGATCCAAGAATTATAACGCCAAGTACATGTAACAATGTTCATAGTAGCAAAATCCTGTATAAGTTGTCATAAAATATTTCTTTACTATGTATCTAGATTTGATGTATGTCTTGTAGACATTGGTTTAGATTTTTATTCTCAAAGATGATAAAACATTTACTCCTAGTTTCTTATTGGTCCAAAACCAATATGGAAGTGATAGCTTTGCATATTAAAACTTATATATGGTACAAGTATATGATAATAAATATAACAGTGAAATTTGATCTGACCTTTTATCTCCTAAATCCATCTGATAAATATCATAGTTGGTATGCTGTATCACTTTTTTGGTGCCTTTGTTGCGAAGCAAGATGCCATTAATTGTTTGGATAACTGGTTCTATATTGACTAGAGATTATGGTGTCCGGAGCATTTTACCCTTTCTTGACTATTGAAATTAATATATTAAAATATATATTTTCCTTTACTTTATTATTTATTTTTTTTTTTGGAAGTAAGTTTTCTATATTGTCATTTTCACAGGTCAGTTGTCCAGCAGGAACAACAGCAGGTGGCTGGATAGGAACACAGAATGTCTTTGACTCTTGTCAATACTCCACTCTTTGAGTCAATATATTTTGAGCCAGCCACTTGACTCTCACATATGCAATATATTATTCTTATAAGAATACCTTATCAATTTTTTGTTACAAATGTGTATTTGCACTTTGTTTCTACAACGAATTTGATTTACAGTTTAAAAATTATCTTAATTGATTGATTTGGTGCCATTGCTTATACATTAATGCAATGACACAATAGTGGTTTTGAGTTTAAGGCTTTGAGGGATTTGATAACAGATGGATAACATTTTCTTATCCAAAATTCCGTTCACAGTTTGCATTGTATTTTGGCTCTCAAATTAAAAAAAGGTTGGTAATCAATTGGATGTTACTTAGTTACAGCAATAAGTATTACAAGAGAACGAATAAGAATCCGACATGTTTAATGCACATGACACTCGTCTGTTATAAATTTTAGTTTATTTAGTCTTGGAGAAATACAGGTGGAGAAATACAGGAAGGCGGTACCGACACGAAGGCCACACAGCTTTATCATGGCACAGCAAATTTCCAGCATATTTTGCTGTTATTTAGGTACGTATATACTGTATTGCTAGCTCATGATAATGTTGATCTCATTATATGTTGGAATGTTTTCAAATGTTTTTTCACTGAGTGTGAAAATATTCGAGTAATTAGCACATAAGATCTTTCGATCAGTTTGTTGTTTAAAGATGTTTAGCCTTCATTGGAAACTTGATATTTAAAGTTTGTTTTTATTTTCATTTCCAGTTTTAACCTGTTATAAAGTGCTCGCAACACCTTATTTTCCACCTACAACCATAACACCAACAAGTAAGGCAAAATGTTGTGAACATCAACTTTAAACTAGCAAAGAAAGTAGGATAACACTAAAAACTCTATTTTAGCACAAAAAGTTCAAGGATATAACATAACGTGTGAAAAAAATCGCTTATTAGTTTATTAGTCTGCTCGCTTACGAGTTTGTGCATTTGTGGTTAAATTTTTGTCTTGCGATAAAAGTAACAATTTTACAGATTTTTGTTTCAATTTTTTTGAAGATTGGTAATAGGGCCAGGACGAACTGATTTGATTTTCATAAGGAATAAATTATGATTGGCAATATTTTTTAATTTTAAACTCCCATTTTGAGTGTGAAGAGGGAGTTCGCGGTTTAATGATGTGTTTAACACAATTAAATTGATAACACTGTCACAAAGACCATTAGTAATCTGTTGGTTTAACAAAGAAATGAGTTTGTAATTACGTTTTGTAGTTTTAGGCAATGAACTTTTTAAGTGGAGGAATGAGTTTCTAATAAATAGAGCCGTTTTGTACTTTAAGACAATTAACAAATGCTCATAAATATTGTTTGTGGTACTTTGACTTGGAGTGCATTCAGAAAAGATGATCTGCAGTCTAACCGATCCAGTTAAAAAGCGATGGCGCTAATTCTCTGATGGTCTCCCCACCTCCACACACGCCGTTGCTGTACCCACTACCAGGGTGGCTGATTATATAGGGAAAATGAGAAAAGCCAGAGATAGTAAAATGACCATCTATTTACAGACTTGATATTTAATATGAAATATTTCAGTTTCAAAGGTTTGTCTAGGTAAAAATGCGTTCTTAATTGGGTAGTGTTGGCTTTGGCGAAGCATGGTTCTGTTAAAAAAGTAGCCATACATGTATGTCGGCAACTACTGCATAGATGAAATCCAATTAATTAACTGATGTCACATTGACATCAAAGGGATAATTAAAAGTTATAGTTATTAAAACACGATTTTTATCCTTATTTTCATTTATCAGTCAGCAAAATAGGAAAAAACTGATGATGTAAAGATATATCTGTGAATATCCTGTGAAATCAATCTCTGACCCTGGTAGAGGGTGCTGTTGCTGCGTGAGCGTGCCAGACAGACGTGCTGGAGCGCGCCAGGCTGATTACATTGACTGCACCTTAGCCTAGGTCCCAACCGAACGCACGGGCTGCTACGTGTGGTCTACGGCCAAAAAAATGGAGAAAACGTGGGAGTTCATGCGTGAGGAGCACGTCCATCGTCCGACTTTTGGAGGCCGCAAACAGCACGTAGAAACTTTTCGACATGATCAAGAGCCGCTACGTGCGTTCTAGCTTCCCCTAGCCGGCCGCAAGGAACCTAAAAAACCGTGCGTCCAAAACGTAGTTGGGACCTAAGCTTTAGCGAGAATCCCTGCTGAGATCGATTGATCCTGCTAGTACGATAAGATTACGGGAACGCAGTTTAAGACTTAACTGTCAAGTTAAGAGCCCAAATTTCCAGCACTCTCTTATCCCTTTGTTTTACACAAAAAAGTACAACTCTGGTGGCTAAATTTATATTTGGTCGATCTTTTATATTATATATTTCGTTAGCAATTTTATATCTCTGTCAGTTTATTTGTTTGTGAATAATTTTTTGTCCTGTGATAAAGTCGAAAATTTTAGAGATTTTGTTTTGTAGAATGGGAATTGGCCCAGTATGAAATCTATTGATTTTCAATTTTCAATGCCCATGTTAATTTCGTAGTTTTGAAATAAACATGAACAGTGCCAATCGGCAATTTAAGAAAAAATCTGAATTTTTTTATAGAAATTTACGGTGTAACAACATCAAATTGCACGAAGTGAATCTAGGTCATGACTTCTTACAACTAACAAAGTTTAATCCGGAGAGATATAGGCCTACTTTTCCTCTATAGAAAATTCAAAATTTTGAAATATGTGCGAGAAATTCCATTGACATTCTTTAATTCCGACTTTTTTTTACCAATTTTAGATGTTACCACCCCAAATTGCAATTTAAACAAATATCAAGTAATTGCGTCTAACCCTTTCACTTCTAGCGCTAAACGTTTAGAAAAAGAGATCCTCTTGCTAGGCGTATTATGAATAGTGCCCTAGATCCTTTGAAAATATAGTTCAAGACAAGTTAAACTTTTCTACACTGACACAACTATTAACTGCCCGTTCTTTATGCATGTTTTGTTCGTTTAAGTTACTTTATGCATGGCTTAAAGCGTTCGTTTATAATAAGGATTGCTTTTTATATTTCAAGAAATCATGGATATGGACTTAGATACAGAACTTGTTCTTTGACAATGTGACACTTAACGCCTCCCTGTTGTGGTTTCTAGCAAGACCGCCAGAGCCTTCACCAACACCTACTCCAGTTATAACTCCACTGTCCTCTGTCACTGTTTCTACTACTACAGCGCCCCCTATCAAAGCCACTGTTAATTCCACTGCCGGCGGTGATGGATCACAGGCCACTGTCAAAACCACTGCATCCGGTACTGCCGCTTCCGTTATCACTTCAGACACTTCATTAACACCGGCAGCCAAGGTAAGTAGTTAAGAGTCGTGAACATCTGGACGCTAGGTAAATTTGCATCTAACAACCTGAAGATTTTAGTTTAATCATTTTCGTAACATTAATTGCCTTTAGTAATAAAAAAAAAAAGGTCGAAATTTTTATCCATTTTAACTCGTGATCTCTTGAAAAACTGCATACTATTTTTTTCTTTGCGGGGGATATTTATTCCCAGACTACCGATACACGGTTATTTTCTCTTTTCCAGTTCCACTTTGACCGATATATGCTAGACAGTGGATGTGGTTTTAAAACTAACCATTTTCATCAATTTATTTATCAATTTATTCATCATTATAATTATCATCATTTATTTGTCAAATTGTTAATTCCATAATGTTCCTTCTTAAAGGTCACTTGTATAAACGGAACCACAACTGATTGGAGTGGGACACAGAATGTCTCTGGCTCTTGTCAATCCTCCACTTGTTGGGTGAGTATATTTGATCAGCACTGTAGCCTACGGCAAGAAAAAATTCAGTCGGCAGTACGCGTCATTGACCCATTTACCTTATATACAAGTACTGTAAGTAAATATAACGTGCGATGACTAGAGTTTGTAAAATCAAGACATGCGGAGAAAGGACAGACCAAATTTCAAAACAATAATAGGCCCTATCACAGAAGATATGTTGAATATCGGACTGTCGTTTCCATTTCAAGGGCCACTGAAAACAGTGAATATTCGAGGAAGTGTTTCACGGCTGAATGATGCATTCTGTTTTGGAGTCATTCAGTTTTTCAGACTAAAACTTAAACCGTAATACCCCACGCATCCCTTTTTATAGGTGTTGGCAACCTACGTAGATGACGATGTGACCGAAATCAAGTTGAGTTGCGCCTCGAAAGTGGAAACCTCGACGTGTAACAAGGGTGAATGTAAATATGCAAGCGGTTCCTGTGAATGTTGCTGCAGCACTGACAGATGTAATAACGACAACTTCGAAGATAAGTGTGCTGGAGCTCGTGCCAGCAGTAGAGGGGTGCGCCTGTCACCACCATGGCTGGGCTTGGTGATACTTGTACTCATGATGATGAAGACATTGTAGGAATGCTCTGACTAGTATATATTTACAATTTGCAAGAACTAAACAAGTAATAATTGTAAAATGGAACTTAAAAACTGTTTTTATCGTCTTCTTTATCAACAAACGCTGTGATTATGGATTTTACTGAAAAATTATTTTTTACATATCAGCGTAATACTAAAAAGTACATAATCGAAGTTTTCTAAAAGCGTTGCATGCGGATTCAGTGAACTTGAGCTGTTAGTACGAGTGTATTTTTGCGTGTGAATCTTTCCAACATGGACGTCACTGTGCCTGATGTGCCTAAATGAAAGTCACCTGTTCAAGAGGAAAACGTTTTGATGGATATTCCTTAAATACTTCACCGAAAGCATTTCGTTTTTCTGAACAAAGTTTACATTGCAAAAATTTGAAATCGTGTAAGTGGCGTGTTGTGTCACTGTATTTTCTTTGGTGATTGTTTAAAGATGTTTTAGTCATGTTTTCTATGATTGAACTAGGTCACTGGATCAAGGTCACGAATGAAGGTCACAATAATAATAATTATTAATATTGAAAATGAATATATCTTCATAAAGTCAGTTTCAGTTTTTGCGAATGCAAGTTTATTAAAAAATATTACAACTAAATTATATATATATATATATATATATATATATATATATATATATATATATATATATATACAGACTTGACATTTAATATGGAATATTTCAGTTTCGAAGGTATACCTAGGTAAAAATAAGTTCTTTTTTAAAAAAAATCTGATCTCATATAAGATTTGTGAATGTAAAAGTGTGCAGTCAGGTGTGTCACTACCAATTAACTGACTTTCATGCCTATTGCTCTGCTACATTATGTAATGTGCAGTGATTTAATTGGGTAGTGTTCCTTTGGGCTGATCAAAGCTTGGCTTAGGCAAAGCTTGGTTCTGTCAAAAAAGTATCCATATTTCGGCAACTACTGCATAGAAAAATTTGAAATTTTGCATGCAAGCGGTCAGTTTTGCAGTGCGTAAGATGAGTCAAGTAGTGCATTACACATGTGTTAATCTAAGGCAGAATGGCGCGAAAAAGACAGACATAACCAGACAGATCATAGCGCCAAACGGAACGGTCCCCACAGTTTTATAGAGTAATGCCCAGACTGATGTGCCTACACAGAGGACACCCCCAATGTATCACAATTTTACCTACAGGGTACAGGACCAACTGTCTTTCGGGATACGCTGCTGCAACTAAACAAAAAACACTTAGTCCGATCAGAACGAGGGGTAAATTGCCACTAAAATGCGTTTTTTAAAGCCCTTAGCGAACACCAAACTGGTTTTACCAGGTAAGAACACCAAATGACCTCCGAGGTACCCACTGTATACAGCAAAACATCGTCGTCTGTTTCTCTAATGAATTGGGGGCCATGAACGATTCTGGGTAGAACAATGAAACTGCGTGGCTTTCTTTATTGAGGTCAGATCTCACCTGTACCGCCCAATTAGTCAAAACAGAGTTTACAGATATCCAGAAGAGGCCTACGACGAAGCATATGCCGGGTCTAAAGTGACAAGGGTGATTGACAGCGCCAGTATTTGGAGTAGATTCCACATTGGTGCCAAAACACCAATGGTAGTCATCGACGAAAACCTGAACCAGATCAAATAAAGGAATAATCTCGGAACCACTTGTCTATCATTTGATAGGGGGCACCTTAGGAACAATTCTAGGTTGCACGATGAGGTTGCAGGTTCACACAGAACACTTTTAATAGTAGATAACTTACAGAACCAAGGGAATGAGTAGCTACCCTGGTCATCAAAATCGCCACATTTGAACCACATACACAATGTTTCGGTAGACCATTACTCACCAATCAACTGCCTACATGTCCTACAACAAAACTGGACCAGATTGGACAATTTTAGACCGTTGCCTGGAATGCTATTCCAGATTGAACTCTAAAAA